GCTGACTAGCAGGCTGGTTTCAAAGGAAACGTGGAAATTGGAAATTTCTGCCTAATTGTGCGCGTCTTTTGCGTGCTGCTGCTGGCCTCCCTCCATTTAGGGAGTTTTCTGTGTGTTTTTTTTGGCCATATGGTAATTTGATTGGCTTTCCCGGCATCGCATCGAAAGGTGAGTGCAATTAGCTCTTTCACTGGTAAATTATGGCATGGAAGTATGCGTACAGGCTTTCCCTCCCAGGCTTTTCGGGTGGAGCAAGTTGATCCAGTTGCAAAGACAATTTACGAGATGTGCGCAATGTTTACAATGTCTCTTTTTACTCTGGCCAACTGCTAATTTTTTATCGACTCCTTGTTGCATGTAGCAGCAGCAGCACAACAGCAGAGACACAACATTTGCATACTAGACACCAAACCGTCGCCATTGGTGCTCCTCCTCCTCCTTCTTGGCTGCCTTAAAAATCGTAAAATATGCAAATTCATTGGAATATCATAAATATTCATGTATCTACTCGCACAAACATATCTCTACAAGTATCTCCTACACTCTTTTCTTTTTTGTATGCCCCAACTCCAGCATCTTTCCATGGCTTACATTTTTGTTGTTTAAATTTTTGAATTTGTTAATCTTATGTAAATGGATGTTGCGTGACTCGACCGATATCTGGTTGTAGGTCCGTTGTTGCAACAATTAAACTCAATTAAGCCATTTCTTTCGCTGCGTCTGGCCCCATCCGCTGATTTTTTCTTCCATTTAAAAGTTGGAATTTCTAGGAAAAGCGAACGCTCAAATCTGACTAAATTATAATTGTTTAATTTGATTCAATGAACGAGCCCATTCGGGAGTAATTAAGCCAAATGGCAAACTCAATTGAAGCCCAAAAACACACACAAACAGTTTAATAATTAACTTAATTCATATAAATATTCGTTCAAGTCTTCTTTTCTTTTGCTCTTTAAATACGTTTACTTTAAATTTTTCATGTTCCCCCCGAGTGGTTTTTGTTGAACAAAAAGTGTTTTCAGGCTTAACATTCAGCCGCTGCATTGGATGGGGGAAGGTGGGGGTGTTGGCAGAGACGTGCATAATGCAAAAAGGGTTTTTTATATTTTTATTTTACTTTTGTGCAACTTTTTTGCCAACGTTGATGTTGTTTTTGCTGCACGTACAGCCGCAGGAAACAAAAGAAAGGAAAGCGAACGACAGTTTGGACAAAAATACATGGGGGTAGAATGCAGAATGTACAGCAACACAGTGTTAAAATGTTTCCCTGCAGACGGACAACCTGTAGGCCAAGAGAGCGGTCGTTCCCTCTGATGGGGTATATTATATTCGTGCAGATGTTGGTAACAGCTAAGATCAGCATCAAGATCGGATCATTATTAGAACCAGAAAAGGTAATAACAATTTTGCAAATTCGATTTGTCATTTGTTCATTACCATTAGCATTGTTCCCATAATTGAGAAATCCCTCCATTAACGAATAATAGCCCTCAAATTAAATTTTGATATATGAGAGGGATGAATCAGAAAGGATGGATGAAATGACAGCTATAATTGTGGCTGCTTTCATAAAGCGAAAAGCTGATTAAATTTCCATGCACAATTACCACTTGAATACAATTCCATTTTGAACAGTTTTTAATAATTATTAATTAATTATTGGTTTTATTTATTGGAGTCAATCATATTGCAGCGCGTGAGCGGGTGTCATAATTAAAACCATTCGATAGATAATCAGAGAAGAAAGAGAAGACCCAAAAGTGGATAAAGAAAGAGAGAAATAAAATCAATTGACAACATTTCTGTGCTGTTTGGGAGTACAGATAACCTCATTGTATGCACTATCTCCTCTCGACGCTCTGGCTCTTTTCCCTTTTGGACTTTCGAAATCGGATCTATCTCTGCCTCTCGCCCCACACCCACTCCCTCGTTCGTATCTCTCACTCTACTGCTCGCGGGCAGATGCCAAAGAAGTGCACAATAAAAATCAATTCGAGCAATAAAGTTTTTAATTGGATCCAGCTCCCTGCTGGCTCTTTGCCGAGGCCGGGCCATAAAATTTGAAATTGAAATGGCTGCAAGAGATGTCTCCATTTGATTTAGAGCCAAATGCCAGTCTTAATGGCCAGAAATTTTTCACTCTCTCTCTTTAGAATAATTATGGAATATGTAAAAAAAAAACCAACCCCGAAACTAAAAAATGAAGCTGCAAATGCGGGTCAGTCTCTTGAATTGAGATGTATGTGTAACAATGCAGGTACTTCTCTTCCTTATACTCGTGCACACTCCACTGCAGCTGCAGCGGCAGGACACAGGGAAATCCAGCTGAAATTTAAGTAGATTTAGCATCTTACCTTACCAATCAAATGTTAAATGGCAATATAAGTGAAGTACCATAGTCCAGCGATGGTAGGATGCATGGATAAAAAAGTACACCTACTTATATATGGATCAATTACAGGCATTTTCTTGCCTTAACAGATCCTAAAACTCGACTGTAAAAAGAGAAATGAGAGGAATATGTTTATAAAAATACAATTTCATCAAGTGGAATGTGTGTGGCACTCAACCAACCAACCAACCATCCTCATCCACCCACACATCCGTACGACCATGGGGTGGGGAGAAAGAGTTCTTTGGGTTCGGCTCCATCGGAGCACAGGAGCCGAAAGCAATAACCATAAAACCACACGTCTCGAGGCTCAAATGTTCGAATAAAACTTGAAATACTACTACGCATACACTGAGAGCAAATAGGGGAATACACTACTGAAACTATGAACCAAATGCAGATGCTATTGTAGGACGTACTTAAGGTAACATTTCTCCAAAACAACAGAACGAAGCAGCATTAATCAATGGCCTCTGCGGCTGTTGTTTTCCATTCACCGAGGGGAGTTCGCAAAGTGGAGCTTATACTTCAATCTCTCACTCAACCACTCACTCTCCTCTCCGCTCACTCATTCGCAGCAGAGCCTAATAAACTCCCGCTTCGGAGAGTGGAGAGTTCATATAAAACCAACACCAGGAACCCAACCCCCTGCACCCATCACTGCACACGGTTCGCATAACTTTGGGTAAACTGCAGACTGCGGGGGGGAATGGAAAACAATGCGAATAAATTGCAGGCATACTTCTTGACTCTACTCTTTGAGTATTAGCCTTATACCCTGGTCGGTCGGAGGTTCCTTTCGAGTTCACGTGCGGTCAATATGCAGAAAATTCACTCCGTTTGTGGTAGGAATAGGAAGCGGCTCGGCAAAAGGAAACAAAACAACATGCAGGTGCAGAGGATACACTCCTTAAAAGCATTTCGAAACAGCAACCGAGACTGAATTGAATTGAACGCAAAGGTGATGCGTAATTCATGATACGAAAATCATTTGCACAGCTGGATAAATCTTGAAAATTAAGTCATCAACATTCTGGCTGTTAATACTGTCAGTCAGGTGCTGTATGCTGGGATTCGATGCCTAATTAGGGTTGCTCAAATATATATATAGAGTTCCTGTTGTTTACAGGAATTGTATTGGGAGCACCAACTGTGTCAGAGATGACAAAAATAAACAGCTAACGATAAGGAACGTGTGAGACGATTCTTACGTGTCACATCTTTTATACCCGGCTCTCAGTACTACATCTGCACCTTAGCGGTGTTTTGTCAAATTTAACATTTTTTCTTCATCTGTCATCTACATCTACAACACTTCTCACACCAACACGCTCCCTTAGCTCCCCCCCCCCCCCCCCCCCCCCCCCCCCCCCCCCCCCCCCCCCCCCCCCCCCCCCCCCCCCCCCCCCCCCCCCCCCCCCCCCCCCCCCCCCCCCCCTTCCCTAGACCTACACACTGCAGACTCGCGGCAGAGGCAGTGGCCGCGCACAGCAGAAGCAGAGTGTGAATGAGAGAATGTGAAAAAACAACAAAAGCTGCGGGACAGGGTGGGTTTAGCCACTGATGTATTTCTTTATTGTGGCTATACTAATGGTCCAATCAGATCCCAATTTGGCGATCTGATAAATATGATCATTCCCTACGGAATGGCGTTTTTAGTTTTCTTTTATCTTCAAAATTGTAATTTTGGGAGGTTTTCGGCTTTTTGCGGGGCCGCAAGGGGCTGGGCTCATTTTTTAAATACACTTGTAACAGTGAGAGCATACAGAAGTCTGGATGCAATATTGTGTGGCTCTAGCTCTTATAGTCTCTGAAATCCAGGCGCTCAACAAGACGGACGGACAGACGTACAGACGGACAGACAGACATCGATCAATCGACTCGGCTATTGATGCTGATCAAGAATATATATACTTTATGGGGTCAGTAACGATTCCCTATGTGAGTTACAATCTTTGTGCACAAATACAATATACCCTATTTACTCTTCGAGTACCGAGTTATTTTGATGGGTAAAACAATAACATAGCAAAAGAGGGAAACTCCCGTCTGGAATCTTGCTCCAATTTAATTATATTTATTAATTAACATTACACATCTTTAGATACTCTTGCGCTGAAAATAGCTGCCTTCGAGTATGGCTAATTTTTTAGCTTCTTACTGACTAAAAGTGTCAGCACTTATTCATCTCATTCCGCTCTTGGTCATGGCTTCTCGGTGCTTGGGGCTCGACTTTTTCCTTCAGCCAACACTGAAGCATGTTAGAAGCTTATTCATTGGCAGGCCTTGCCCCTTCTTACCTATGGCTGACACCCACCCACACAACCACCCACCCACCACCCACGTAGTCGAGTCGGGGCCAAAGTGGAAATGCAAATATTTGCATGCCCTCGTGGCATCCCCGGGCATGCCCTGCCCTGTCCATTCTCATCTCTGTTCGTCATGTTGGTAGTCGGAGTGAGTTGGCTTTTGCAGCATCAATTATTCAGTCATGTTTACAAGTTGACAGATTGCAGTATGCCTAGCCTGAAGTGCCGGCCCCAGAGACCTACCCTAGTCGCCCCATTTTTCTGATGAGCCAACCCCCATTAATGTCTCTTTGTTGCAGCTCTCTCGTTCACCCTGGAGCCGCAGGATGCTGTTGTGCCCGAGGGCCATTCGGTGCTGCTGCAGTGCTCCGGCAGTGCCCCTGGACGTGGCAAGGGCAAGGCTATGCCCACTCCTGCAGCCGTACGATGGCGGGGACCCGATGGCCAGGATCTGGGCATCGTGGGGGACACGTTCCGCACGCAGCTGAAGAATGGATCGTTGTACATCAGTTCGGTGGAGGAGAACCGCGGCCTGACCGGCGCCTATCAGTGCCTCCTTACCGCCGACGGAGTGGGCAGCGTGCTCAGCCGCCCGGCGCTGGTGGCGATTGCCCGCCAGCCGGATCTCAACCAGGACTTCATCGAGACGTACCTGCTGCCCGGCCAGACGGCCTACTTTCGGTGCATGGTGGGCGAAGCCAGTTGGCAGGAGGGCGTGAGGCACTCGGTGCAGTGGTTCCGGGACGACATGCCCCTGCCCCTGGACAAGCTGCGGATGGTGGTTCTGCCCAACGGGGCGCTGGAGATCGATGAGGTGGGTGCCTCGGATCGCGGAGCCTACCAGTGCAACGTCACCTCGGGCAGCGTTTCCCGCTTGAGCAGCAAGACCAACCTGAACATCAAGAAAGCCTCCGAGGTGCCGGGCAGTGACCATGCGGTGGCCCCCTCCTTCCTGGTGGGACCATCGCCCAAGACCGTGCGCGAGGGGGACACCGTCACCCTGGACTGTGTGGCCAATGGAGTGCCCAAGCCGCAGATCAAGTGGCTGCGCAACGGCGAGGAGTTAGACCTCAACGATCTCGACTCGCGCTTCTCCATCATCGGGACCGGATCGCTGCAGATCTCCAGTGCCGAGGACATCGATTCGGGCAACTATCAGTGCCGCGCCAGCAACACCGTCGACTCTCTGGATGCCCAGGCAACGGTGCAGGTCCAGGTGCCGCCCAAATTCATCCAGGCGCCGCGCGACAAGACCGCCCACGAGAAGGAGGAACTGGAGCTGGAGTGCGCCATCCGGGGCAAGCCCAAGCCCATCATCAGGTGGCTAAAGAACGGCGATCTCATCACCCCCAACGACTACATGCAGCTGGTGGCCGATCACAATCTGCGCATCCTCGGCCTGCTCCACTCCGATGCGGGTATGTTCCAGTGCGTAGGCACCAATGCCGCTGGCAGTGTCCAGGCAGCAGCCCGTCTACGTGTCGTCCCACCAGGAGGTAAGTGACTCTCCTCTAACAATTCCTCCTCTCTGTATGTAGTCCTAGCCTTGGTGTCCAGTATTTGTGCAGCTGTAGCCGCTTTGGCGCCTCGATTCGGCCTGTAAAATGACTCTACGAAATTAAACGCCTAGTTCCACTAGCCCACTTACCCACTTACCTCTCTTACTACTTACCTGGAAGACCTTTCAGTTTGTACAAACATTTTCCCTTCATCCTTTCATCGTGTTTTCCTGCTTTTGTAAATTGATTTTATGTGTCTGTGTGTGTGTTGTGTAATTGTATTTGTATATTTGCATCTATTGTTTGTGTAGTTTATTTTGCGATTCAATGATGGAAGAAATACCCAGTAAGAAATAACTCCCGGGAGGCGCATGTCCTTCCCACCAAAAGTTTAACCAAATGCAAATGCAAGTTCCACCCATTGAATTGCAAAATATCTCACCAATAACATTTAATAATTATTATTATAATCAATATACGAGTATATATCAATTGAAATCTGATGTACAAGTAATTTATCAATATAATTTATTAACTTTTGTTTTGTTTTATTTGTTCCTTTCGTTGTTTTCCTTCTTCCTTTTCCTTACTTTATCATTTCCTCGACATATCATCCGCACATCCGAACCCAATCCCGTCCCAATAGTGAAAATCAAACAACGCAAATCCCAAGGCCAGTCCATCAAGTCCCTACAAACCTCCGACAATCCAGTAAAGCGACGCCGACTGTACAGCTCGGGGGAGCAGCAGCAGCTGCGCACCAAATCGGGGGCCAGCCTGCGCTCGACTGAGGACGTGGACGAGGACGAAGACGAAGGCGACATAGATCCCAATAATTCGCTCATGCTGCTCTCCAAGACCCTTTTGGACAGTCTGCAGCACACGGGTAAACTGCATCGTCCCGAGCAGCCGCTCAACGATCGCAACTTTGAGCGGAACGAGGCCAGCGCCTTGCGGCGGGAAAGCGGCACTGGGGACAAGGCAAACGCCAACAATGACAATGACGATGACGACGATGACGATGATGAGTATGACGATGACGAGACGAAGGAGGCACTGATAGCTGCCTACAAGCATGGCGATGATCCACAGAAAATACTGTCCACATGGCAGAGTAACAAACACAAGAAATCCCAGCAGCAACAGCAGCAGAAATTGCAACTGCCATTGCCCCCATCCTTCAATTTTGCGTCCCCCCCAGATTTAAGCGAGCAGGAAGACAACGCGGCAGCCGCCGCCGGTAGTGGAAATGTAAAGAGTCTGGGCAGCGGACTCCTAGCCAGATTGCCCAGCCAGCCACGGGACCTGGCGGCACAGATAGTCAAGCCGCGCTTTGTCACCCTCAGTTGGGTGGAGCCACTCCAGAATGCCGGGGAAGTGGTCTACTACACGGTCTACTACAAGATGAACAACAGCGAGAGGTAAGTGATTGATGCTCTGATTGCTTCCTGCCTCTGACAAGCGGAAATGAATTCGTGTGTGTCTGCCTGGCATCCTGTGGCGCACCTTAACGTTTGCTCTTTACCGCTTTAGAGAGCAGAAAATGGTGACGAAGTCACATGACGATCTACAGGTGAACATTCAATCGCTGCTGCCGGGCAGGACCTACCTGTTCCGCGTGGTGGCCAGCACGAACTTTGGCAGCGGCGAGTCCTCTGCCCCGCTGGAGGTCAGTACCCAGCCGGAGGTGAACATAGCCGGACCCCCGCGTAACTTTGAGGGACATGCGCGCAGTCACAGCGAGATCTATGTGCGCTGGGAAGAGCCAGCAGTGACCAATGGGGAGATACTCAAGTATCGCGTCTACTACTCGGAGGTAGGACACGAACCCAGAGCTCTTAAATCACAGATAAAGCAATCCCATAATTCAATTCCAGAACGAAAGCGGAGCCGATTTGTACCACGATAGCACCACCATGGATGCTCTGCTCACCGAACTGCGTGCCTACACGGACTACGTGATCAGTGTGGTGCCCTTCAATCGGAACGGCATGGGTGATCCCTCGGCCGAGATCAAGGTGAAGACATACTCCTCAACGCCGTCAGAGCCGCCCAATAATGTGACCCTTGAGGTGACCAGTTCCAGTGTAAGTATCCCCCTTAGATTTAGAGTGTATGAAGAGCGCTTTAACAATTGTATACTTGGGATTGCAGTCCATTACCGTGCACTGGGAGCCACCCGCAGAGGAGGATCGCAATGGCCAGATAACTGGCTACAAGATACGGTACCGAAAGTTCAAGGATGCACCGCAGGTGAAGAGCACGCCGGCAAATATTCGCTACTTCGAGCTGAGCGGACTGGATCGTAGTGCCGAGTATCAGGTGAAGATTGCGGCCATGACGGTGAATGGATCGGGACCGTTCACGGAGTGGTATCGCGTCAATACGCTCGAGAACGATCTGGACGAGACGCAGGTGCCGGGTAAACCGATTTGGATCAATATACAGCCCGGAGCGGAGAACATTGGTCTGCACTGGGGTCCGCCGCAGCAGCCGGAGATCAAGATACGCAACTATGTTCTGGGCTGGGGTCGGGGCATACCCGATGAGAACACCATCGAGCTGAAGGAGACCGAACGCTATCACGTGCTCAAGAATCTCGAGTCCAACACGGAGTACGTCGTGTCCTTGAGGGCGCGCAATGTGAAGGGCGACGGACCGCCGATCTACGACAACATCAAGACGCGCGACGAGGAGCCCATCGATGTGCCCGTGCCGCTGGAGGTGCCCGTGGGCCTGCGGGCCATCACCATGTCGAGCTCCTCCATCGTTGTCTACTGGATCGACACGATGCTGAACAAGAACCAGCACGTGACCGACAACCGCCACTACACGATCAGCTATGGCATCACGGGATCGAGTCGCTATCGCTACCACAACACCACCGATCTCAACTGCATGATCAACGACCTGCGTCCGAACACCCAGTACGAGTTCGCCGTCAAAGTGGTGAAGGGACGCCGCGAGTCCGCCTGGTCCATGTCCGTGCTGAACAGCACCTATCAGAATGTGCCAGTGACGCCGCCACGCGAGGTCACCGTACGCCTTGATGAGGAGAACCCGCCCACGGTGATCATCCAGTGGATGCCGCCGAAGCACACAGTGGGCCAGATCACTGGCTACAACATTTACTACACAACGGACACTACGAAGCGGGATCGGGACTGGTCCATTGAGGCCTTTGCCGGCGAGGAGACCATGCTGATGCTGTCCAACCTGAAGCCCTACACCACGTACTACTTCAAGGTGCAGGCACGCACCACCAAGCAGCAGGGCAACAACAATGCGCCCTTCTCCGCCTTGGTGTCCTACACAACAACCGCCGCTGTGATCATGCAGGAGGCGGACACCATTGCCAAGGGCATCGACAACGAGAAGCTGCTGTACATCATTATCGGAGTCACGTCCGTGGTGCTGCTGGTTGTCCTCTTTGGAATACTGCTTCTGTGTCGCCGCAAGCCCCAATCCTCACCAGAGCACACAAAGAAGAGGTAAAGTCTTAGTGTCTCGTGTTCGTTTACCACTTTTGAATTGTGTTTTTTCTTCAGCTATCAAAAGAACAACTTGGGAGTGCCAAAGCCTCCAGATCTATGGATACATCACGACCAAATGGAGCTGAAGAACATTGACAAGGGTCTACACACAGTTACGCCCGTCTGCAGCGATGCTGCCTCCAGTAGCGGTGCACTGACCCTGCCCCGTTCGGTGGTCCACAGCGAGTACGAGGTGGAGACGCCTGGCGGAGTACCGGGACATGTGACCAACTCGCTGGACAAGCGCTCCTATGTGCCCGGCTATATGAGTGAGTAGCTCAACCCTTTGTCCTTGGTTAGACTCATCAAATGCCGTTCCCCCCCCCAGCAGCCACTTCGATGAACTCTACGATGGAGCGTCCGCAGTATCCGAGGACCCAGTACAACCACCAGAACCGCTCGCACATGACCATGGAGACGGGCCTCTCGCAGCAGAGTCTCTCGCAGCCGAATCAGAATGGCTCGCTGGCCCAGACGCCCGAGCACCCCTATGGGGGCTACGATGCCAACTTCTGGTATGTTTAGTTCCTGGCTAGATCTAGTATTCATATCCATGACTGCCCTTCAATCCGAGTTTGTTCAGATTAGCACCACAAAATTCTCAGCTAAATTCGAAACAGTTTTTGCGTCTCCGGTTTGGGAAATAATAATAAGTGAAGCACAGGCATGGGCTCAAGATCGCGATGGGGACGGATTGATGCCCGTGTGACGGTCAATCTGGTGCGAGAGCCATCGATGGGTGTCATGAAGCTGAATCGACGGACACTGGAGCGACGCGTGGATCATCAGCTGATGCTGATGTCTTCCCCAGTGCCGTTTGTCAACTTCATGAACAAGTTCCGCCTGGACGAGATTCTGATTAATCGTCAGGCCCGTGGGGTGTTCAGCATGCGCGACTCGGCCACCGTTACGGAGCTGGCCTGCTACACGTGGAAAATCATGTCGGCCAGCGATCGTCTGCCCTACACTCGTCTGGCCATGAAAGCCCGGGAGATTCAAAATGCTCGCAAACTCTACTTTCAGGGCAACAGCACTTGTCGAATAGTCCCCAGCAGGGCCCTGGCTCAAAACTGAGCAAACGTTCGAATGATTTTATGAATTTGTTAGAAATATAAAAAAATTACTTGATTTTAACTAGATCTAAATCTTTGTCTTTGCTTTCTCCCTCTCCAACAAAATTGTGCAGCAATGCCGGCAATGGAGCTGCTGGCAATGGCTGTGTGTCCACCATCGAGAGTGCCAAACGCGGGCATCCGCTCAAGAGTTTCAGTGTGCCAGGGCCACCGCCCACCGGGGTAGCCACGCCGATTAATAAGCACAGTGAGTATTCGATGTGTAATTGCATCTTGTGTCAGGACTGACGCTTGTGCACCTTTCTCGATTTCAGCTCCTGCCGTAACAATTCGTCCACAGAATCAGTCACCCTACAAGAAGCCATCGTTCTCGGCCGCCACGCCCAATCGCTTGCAGGGCGGTGGATCGGTGGCACACTCAACCGATGAAATCCAGAGACTGGCACCGAGCACATCCACCGAGGAGCTCAACCAGGAGATGGCCAATCTGGAGGGTCTCATGAAGGATCTGAGCGCCATCACGGCCAACGAATTTGAGTGTTAACAGAGAAGCTACTAATGCAATTCCCGCCCCACCCCGCCCACTGAACAAGTATTAGTCGACAAAACAGTTTAAGTTACTTGTTTTTTAGTTTCTGTTTTATTATCGATTAACAAACAACCTCAAACCACACATCCGCTGGCAGCAATCGAGCTGGTTTAAGCATTGGCCAGGTCTGCATTTAGTTTTAGTTACAAACCATGTGCGATACAACCTAATGAAATTATCGAATGATGAAAACTGTAAATACGAACGACGCCGCCATATATACGTTTAAGTCTAGATACACACATTCATAACTATAAATAGCATTCTAGCATAGTTAATTAGCCATTAAGCAACAACAGCAACTGTGTAAAAAGCAAAAGGAAAAGCCAGAACAGAAGTGCGTTTATTGTGTGACAGGATTGACTGACACTGACCCTATAGCCCACTTATCATATGACATAACATATTTATCACACTGCAGCATCTTCATTTCATACGCATGCAGATTCGGTTTAATCCTTAAGTCTACATATACATACATACGTATAGTACATATGCTACATATTCTATATACATATGCATCTGCATCTATATACATACATACATACGTCTAAGCTAATTTTCATACTACTAATGCGTACCCTAAGAACGTAACTTTTATGCTAATATTCGTACATATGTATTACACTCACAAAAACAATCAAAACATTCGAAATCAATTTGTATCTTAAAGTGTCTTCTGTATTTTATCCTCTTTGCTTCAACTTTTGCATAAAGTTGGAAACGTGCCATTAATTGATTTGTCGCCTCTGCCTACACAAAACTACTTAAGCTATAAAGTTAAGATCTACATACATAGATTTTAAACTGTAAGCCAGTAAAGCATTTACGATTTCAACTGTACTATTAATAGTAATAATATATGTACAACACACTGTCTTTTAGGAGATTTTGATATGTTCAAAATGCGTATTTCCTAAAGAGTTATGTGCGTGTTTTATTTATTGTTCACTAAATTGTATTCAACATTTCAATTCAAACTATAATCTCATTGGAAATTTAACGGCACAATTGACAAAAGGAAAGAAAATATATGCAACAAAACCAAAACTACGAAACAAAAAATGTAAAATGCACAAGGAAAACATTTTAAAATTGTGAAATTTGTCATGTATTGAACGTAAATCTTTGTAATCAAAAGTGAAATTGATAAATATATGACCAAATTGTGGAAAATAATCAGAGCTGTGTCTCTTACTTTCAAAATGGAAATTTCTATAAAGTTCAGGGTAGAAAAGAAACAACCTCTATCTACTCTAAACGCTATCTACAATTGGGCTCTAGGGCGATCCGAAACAGACATTGAGCGGCACCCCTTCCTCTGATATATGTTTGTGTGAATGAGTAGGCTAAAATAGATGAAGTCTTCCTCTTGGCAAGTTGGATGGCACATATGTATGTAGGTGAGGGACCAGTCGAAAGTTCGCATGAACTGTGGCGCTCGGTAACAGATTAACGATTGCTGGTACACCCTTTAAAGGGATCACATCTTGGCAGCAATGCCATAAACGCAATGAAAACCACTCCCAAACATTTCCAGCAGAATTAATGTAAGTATATAAGCGGAAACACCGATGTAATTGGCTCCCTATGGCTCCCATTTTATGCCAAATAAATGCCAAGGCGGAAGAGATCTCTACTACAAAATTGAGTATAGCACCCAAATCATGCAGTCCTTGAGGTCCTTGATGGATTCAAACAATAACAAAAACAACCTTTGTTGTACAACAACTACAACATAAATTGACAATAACAACAGGACTGATTTGTGTTATTGTTGTCTACTTAATTTGTATGCCGATCAGGACGTGGGATACCTTCTCGTGATCGGAACAATGTTCCGGATCGCTTGCAATCACTTCGGATGCAAGGACAAGGACAGGAGTGCAAGATCTGGCTCTTGTACGTTATTTTTTAATAGATACTGATTCCGCCTGAAAGTATGCCATGCTTATTTGAACAAAAGCAGTCCTCAAAAGATACTTCATAAAATGTCTCATAACATGACTATTATTATTGTTTCCTGGCGTTCACTGTCTGTCTGAATGGTGTAGTAGAGTATTATCTGGCGGTTCAGCCTCCGCTGCTTGAACTCATGGTAATCGTAGCCCAGAAGCGTAAGAAGTCCCGCTCGCCACCGGTATCTATGAGGATCTTCAATACATGGTCAGACTCTCCCTACGCAACCATTGCATCCTTGCAGAACGTGCTCAGATAACTCTGCAGCCAGTAGGCGTAGATGTTTTTTTTTGAATTAAAGGAAATAGGGTATACAATTAAATGTTAATTAAAAATTAATTAAAAAGTGGTCAAACAACAATGGATCGTACTTTTTTCTCGTACTGGCGAACGCGCGCATTTCATTCCCACCAACGTTACATTCCGTTCCCAATTATGTCTTATGATGTTCCTGTCTAAACCTTATTTTCTAACAAATCCAATTAAAGGGAGTCCTTAAAACTAGCCCATCTTCTAGCAAATATATACATATCTGATAAAATTATATTTACGGTGCAAAAAGTCTTGGCTTGCTGTTACTATTAAACCGAAGACTAAAATCGAAGAATATCACTTCTTCACACACTCACACACTCTCAGACGCAGACCAGACAGCTGGCCGGGTTGTTCGTCGACGGCCGCTTCTGCTTTTGTTTGCAAGCGAACCTTAAAAAATATCGGGCACAAATTTAAATTGTACATTCAAATACATACATACGTAAATATATAGTGTTGATTTTCACCGCCGGCTTGTGTTCTTCCCATCAACTACATGGATCTTAAGAAAATTTTGCAGACTTCGACGGGAAAAGAATTGTTGTCCGAGTATCAGTTGAATTTACTGACCAAACACAATATTGAGACAATGCTCGACTTTCACAATGCGGAGGACCAGCAACTGCACAAGCTGCTGGCCATCAAACTGGAATCAGTAGTAAAGATAAAGAATGAGCTGGCGCTGCTGCACAGGGATTCGGAGAGACTTGTGGAAACAGTTTACGAGTCGGACTTTGGAACAGGCATAGAAGAGTAGCTCAAATGCCAAATATACAGAGTTGTAAATACTGACTGACTTGTTTCAGATTGGATAAGTTCTTGAACGGTATTGGACAGCCGTTCAGGAGAGGAAGAGTCTGGGAAATTTGTGGCGAGACTGGCGCGGGGAAGACCCAACTACTGTACACTTTGGCTCTCAATTTTGCGTGGAAACACAAACGGCAAGTGCTTTTCATCGATAGCAAGCACGACTTCTCCACCAAAAGGATACAAGACATGCTGCTGGAGCGTAAAATGGATCAGGAGACAAGTGAGAAGGCAATGGCGAACATTCAGGTGGTAGAAGCTCTCACTGCTAAAAACCTTATTGACGTACTAAAAGAATTTGATTGGCAAATGGCCGATGGCGTCCAAGCTGCACTGCAGACAAGAGTCGTTGTGGTCGACTCTCTGGCCGCTTGCTTTGTTGATCTACGCGGGAGCAGCGATATGCGAATGATGAGGGATTGCCTGCTGACAGAGGTCGCATGCAGAGTGAGGAAGTTAGCTGTGAGGGGCGTAGCTTTTGTCATCGGCAATATATCGTTCGCTGACCAGGATGCAGGTATAATTTATATTAAAGGACTATTTATGTACATAATTCTATTTACTTCGTTTGTTCTACTTTTAGATTATTCTGACGATGACGGCGTCGAGGATGGCAACAGTGATGAGCAGTGTACCCGGCAACAGATTGAACCAATGCTAGGCGCCTATTGGAGTTCAGTGTGCACGCTGAGATTGTCGCTGGAGATACCAGAGAGTACAGATTGCGGTGACAGCGACGATGGCATTGTATACAATGAAAGCCAGGACGACGGGCTCCGAATGGTGAATGTACTGACGAACAGCTATGGTCCCGACGGAGACACTTGCTTGCTGCAGATCACAGATGCTGGGATGGTTTAACGACGGCTAGTTGCATTTTGCTGCTGGTACGACTTCATTACCCGTTTTCCCGGCTCCAAGCCATCGCCCAAACCGGGCCTCTTCCGCGAGTTGGAATTTCCAGAATCTTTCACCACCTGCACAGCTTGAACTGGCGGCTCAAAACTATTCTTAGGGGCAGACGTTTCGGTCAGCGCCAAATCCGAGTCGTGAGCATATTGGCAGCTGGTTCCAAAACGACAGCGTCCTTTTCTAAAGTTCCAGCAGATCTTGCGGCCATTTTTTAGCTGCAAATGCGTGTCGTTGTTGACCATTTTAACATGCCGCTCCAAAGACGCCGTCTTATGCAGCTCCGCCTCTAGAAATGGATTGGAGAAGACCTCGCCCGTTTTCTTAGCTCCAGCATTCCCCAGCGCCTGGCTCGCGCTCGGCAGTTTTGGTGTCACCTTTTCGGGTGGCGGCGGCCTGTGAACGAGGCCTTATGTATTTCTTTTCATACATGGATTATCAAATGTGCTTACTTACCCATTTATCTCTTCGTTTTCGGATTCTTTGCTGCTATCATCTGACTCGGAGGAATCGCTATAATCCGCCACAAGCGACATTGTTTATGTTTTTTGTTTAATATATATCGATATACACGACATACATGCAAACAAAAGTGATATATCGGAAATATACTATCGATGATCGGAAGTCAAATTCCTCGATTCTGTTTAATTCTGTTTGGATTATATAATTTAATAGGATAGAAGAATCAATTTTTTTGAAGATTGGATAGCTTTACAGAATCGCTTTTATTGGGTTTGTCAAAGGTTCCACTGAATGTTTATGATTTTTTTGAACACATATCTATCGATAAATATGTATCGAAAGCAAGGAACAACAAATTAGGTAGGGTTTCGGAATGAGCTTACTACCAAGTAAACAAACTAATATTCAAGACTGATTTTTCATTTTTAATGAATCTTTAATGCTTCATTCCATAATATATTTGTAATCACTTTATGCATGCTCTAGTTAGGTTGGGTGTTGGTTGTGTATATATGTATGTATATAAACTATTTACTAATTATTTATACAGTTTTTATAAATATAAAAAAATGAAACTTTGTTACAGTTCGTTAATATTTCGGCTGGGGACAGCCAGGACGCGCCCTGCTGAGTGTGTACAAAATATGCAAAAGTTTAATACAATAATTGGGGAGTTCCCCGTGCATGGTCATCCGTGCCCACTTGCCAAAAGAAAGCTGGGCTAAGCAAAAAAATGCCAAGAGCTCGCTAGTCTATGGGAGGACGAGCCGAAGGATCGTCCCGATCAATGGGCGGCGGCGAGGTGAGCACTTCCACGCTTTGCGCAGGTCCTGCCGTCAGGTAGCCAGCCGTTGGATTGATGCCTGGAATTAAAAGTCACTTGAGATCTGCGATTCGTATGTTGAGACACTCTACTTACCCGTCAGATAGCCCCGTATGTTGGTGTCGGCAATGAAAAGATCGTGGCGCTGATCCTTGAACTCTGCCCAAACAGGATGCTTGAGCAGGATTTGCGTGACCCGGTCGCCATAGTTGAGATTGTGCGTCATCCCTTTGAGGGCCGCAACGATTTGTGCTTTTACCGCAGATGGATTGTCAACAAATTCCAGTCGACTGTCAAGCAGACCAAGCAAAAACGGTATCAGTCCCACCTCCAAGGACTGACTGATCAATGAGTCCTGGAAATACATACAGTGAATGAATATTAGAATCTGGTGAAATGATTAATGGTGACTCAAATACTTACGTGCTGATGTTTGAAAAGACGACTTAGCGCCTCACAGGCCTTCTCAATGCAATCCCGATTGTGTTCCATGCACTTTTTCAACGGCGCTACGCACTCTGTCTGCGAGATGGCACTTACACAGAACTGCAATGGAATGGGTGATCAGATAAGCATGGGTGATGTATTGCATCCCCGAACTAACCTCAGACAGCGAGAGCTGATGTAATACTGATAGCGTGTTCTTTGGCTGAACCGAGAGTAGATTGAACAGCTTTGGTATGTGGCCAAGCACTGGTATGTCGTCTGCCAGATTGGGCTGCGAGCGCAACAATTCCACGAGCGCGGTGGTGGACAGATCGAGTACATCTTGCTCGGAGGAGCTCTTACTTATCTGCTCGACAACAAAGTCCAGGAGATCGGACAGGAACTGCTTCGGCTTGCGCAGCGTCCAAGCGGGATTGCTGACAAACAGGCGCAAGTAAACGCCTGCCACGACAAT